GGGGGGGGGGGGTTGGAAACACAACTGCTGCTGCACAGTTACCTTCCCTCTCACCCCAGGTGTGAAGACCTCTCCACACAGGAGAAGCAGAGTCAGTAATGAAAAAAATAATAATCAGCTTTTCTCTGTTTCCTGCCTGAGAGGTGTCCTTAAAGAACCTTCCATGATGAGTTTCTTCTCCTCTGATACAGACAAAGAAAAGAAAAGAATATTAAATTCACCTTTTTAGTTGTTTTAGTTATTTATTTGTTATCATTTTTTTTATTAAGAGTGTTTAAGAGTGGTCTTTTCGGCCCTTGTTTTTCCACGTGGAGGTCCCACTGATGCAATGAAAAAAATGTGAACATTTAAAAATACAATAAATTACCATTAAAAATATATATTTAACACATAAGGAAATCTATTCATATTTCATTTGATTCATATTTATTAGTCTTTAGTTACAGTACTTGATAAGTATTAAAAGATCTTTCTCAGCATTGTTTGGGAAGGTTTTCATTTTTCATTTTAAGAGCAACGTGTTCAGCTCTACTTTTGAATATGAAACCATTGGTGCGAGGAAGATACGACACTGATGTTTGTCTTTCTCCCCTTCTCTCCCTCTCCCTCTCTTTGTGGAGGGGGGAGAGTGAGAAACTAATGATCTTATCAGACATCCTCACATCGTGTGTTTGACACAGAGCAGCTGCCGTAGTGTGGAACACAGACATCGTGTCCTAGGACAGAAAGTTTCTCCAGTAGCTGCTTTGGGATGATGGGAATAAAATAATCTTTGCCAAATATTATCCATGTTGTTCCTGTAGCTAACTTTAGCCTAGCTGTGAAATTTCAACAAGCTGACCTGCAGAAATTATCATTATTTGTGGTGTATGCAGCAGAAGTGGAGACATATTGAATTTATTTGTATAATTTACAGAATTAAATCGATGGCGGCGATGTCTGAGTTTGTCAGATGCAGCAGTATTTTAGGGCATCAGGGGGAAACTCAGGCTAAAGTCACACAACAAGATATTTTCAGTAAAGTAACACAGTTCAACTGTGACTTAAACTCAGACCTTCTTGCGTGTAAGGCAGAGATGGAAACCACTTCACAATGGAACCAGTTTATAAAGTGCTCGATCATTAACAGTGAACACAAGCTCCTCTGTGGCCTTGAGCTTTGACAAACTGTGACATTGTGAACTTACTTTTTTGGGACGGGTCCATGTAACATCTGCGGCCTCATAATTCCATATTAAAGTTTCATTTAGACAGTTCCAGCAGATGGATCATCAGAATCCTGGGAAGTTCTGCGACTAGATTTGAGCCTCTGTTCTCCTAAAAGTACACTGAGACAAACCTGTTCAAAACCATAGCCGGTATTCTTCACTTAAACCATTAGACTCCTAACTAGCTTTTTAAAGATGCAGCACTCACTCTATGACACCAAGCCTAAATAAATGACACTGTACCTACTGTAACGACACTGAGGTGAACCACTGACACTGACGACAATGCTCCCTCACCTCTGCCAAAAATTGCTTCACATCGTACAAATATTTGACATGCATTAGCAAATTATATGCATTTTTTCAAAAGTACTTGATTGACAAAATATAGCAAGTTTATTTATTTAATTTGACCAGGTGACAAATTACAATCTATTCCATATTCAATATATTCAATAATGCAGTGTCAGAAACTATGACATTTTTATAAATCATAATATGAAATATGAAATTAATAAATGTATATATTTATTTCTAACATGACAGAGTAAATTTGGTAGTAACAGGATTTTATGATTTTTAATAATATTTCTATATTTCTATATATACTATATTAATATAAAGCAGGAAAAATTGAGTTTGTTGTGTGAACAATTTGTGACTCCATAGTGTCGCCATAGAGCATAAGGCAAGGACTGTTAAAAAAACAAAACAAAAACAAACAACCACAAAAACAAAAGCCTATCTTGTTTATTGTGGGGTTTACTGGCTGCTGCATCATCAGACACTTGACAACCTATTTATAATGTTTTCTTTAAACATGAAAACTGGTAATTGTTTTTTCGTTCAATTTTCTCAGAATTGTTAGAACTCCCTGCACCAGTGTTGGCAAAAACAAACTGTTGTTTTTAACGAGGGTCTCAGTGGGTTCTCAGATGATGCCTCACTTGCACCCGTCTACCTTGTATGGTCTGGATCCAACAGGTCAGCGTTGGCCTCTGAGGAGCAAAATTCTGGTTTTGATTTCAGGTTTTAGTGCCAACATGTCAGCATACTCTAATCAGCAGACATTCCCACAGTTATAAAACAAAATTCACATCGGATCTTGATTGATATAAAGCATGACAGCTCTGATCGATGTTCCCAGAAATCTGCCGACGAATCACAGAGGAATAAGTAAGAATATGGAATGTTTCAGTTTTTAGGTTTGTACTTGACGTGAGTTGTTTGGTTATTTTTAAAAAAGACAGATGTGGACCGCAGGCAGGCAAATCCACGCAGGCTCTGACCTTGTAAATATACATATAAATATATGTATATTATATACACACACATATATATATATATATATATATATATTGTATATACATATATAGCTATACACATATAAATATATCTAATATATACATATATAAACAGATACATATAAATATAAACTAAATATATAGATATTTATAAACTATGTGTACAGGATTGTGTTGCAGTGAATAATGGTGGTTATATATACAGTATATACATCCATATTTATATATATTTACATATATCTATAGCCTACATATAAATATATACCAGGTGAGGATTAAAATAGATGGATAATGATTCCGAGTAAATACTGGAAACAGACGTTTTATGACTCAGAATCTGAAATTCTCTTCAACACAAATCTGCCAGCTGCAGAACTCAGGGGAGGATGACAAACTTTATATATTCCCAATCTCTTTTTACAAGAATACTGATCATTCTTTTTTTTAGAACTGAATAAAACCCAGCGGGGCTGTGTGGAATCCCTGTCTCCAGAGTTGCCAGATACAATTTGGTGTTTTAATGAGAACTTAAGTGGGCACTCAGCTCTCTGCCTCTTCAAATCATGCTGCACTTGTGCTTGTCTACCATTTATGGTCGTGATCCATCAACGCAGCGTTAGACCCAGAGGAGTTAATTTCTGCTGTGGTTCGATTCTAAATGCCAACTTGTCAGGATGCTTGAATCAACACAGATATTCCCATCACAGGCTGAAAATAAAATAAAATATAAAATAAAAAATAAATAAAAATTATTTTAGTCAGACTCACACAGTGTGTGGTTTCATGTCAAAGATTTAACCACACGTAAATAAAGTGCAGGCAAACCTGTAGAGAAACGGAGACTACAGTGATTTAAACATGAAACATGGATGAGGCAAAAACTTAAATATTATGAAATGTGTTGAAAAATTAGATAACAACTTTCTAACAGATTTATTTGTAACATCATCGTCTTCTTTCTTCTTTTCAATTAATGATAAAGGCAGTGGTGTCAAACATATGGCCCTGCAGGCCGTAACTGGCCCGCTAGTGTGTTCAATCCGGTCCGCTTGATGAATTTTAAAAATAATAATAAAAAAAAATACACAAATACTTCATGTTCAGGATATTTTTTGTACAATTATTTTTCATTAAATACCAATAAATAATAATTATAAACAACAAATATTTAAATTACCTGTACGTCGTTGCATGAAAAGAGAGGGGAAAACATGGACTTATTGTTACTTATAGTATAAATTGTTTTTGTCCATTTGACAGAATCTTCAGAACGTTCAGGTCTTCAGGGGTTAATTTTATCATGTTTCAGCCAAAGCACTGATATAAAAATGACCTTTTGTGATAAAAAAAGTTAAAGTGCAAATTCAAAACTACCTAAGGGTAAGAACTACCGTTTCAACTCGACAAAAGTCTTGTCTAAAATGTCAACCTAAAAGTTTCTAGCCTTTTCCATCTATTTCTATAAAGTGCAGCAGTAACAGACTCAGCAGCGCAGCCTTCTGACAGTGTTTGTGTTGGCAGTCACTTCTTCAGCTGCATCTGTTTCCAGTCAGGTTTTTTTTTTACTCCTGACTGACATTGTGTGCAGTGTGTTCTTTACCGCACCGCGGTCCATGAAGATTAACCAGAGAAAGAATCCCAACAGTTGAAATAGGTTGAAACACTTTGATTGGTTTTACCTTCTTGTTCCCACTCTCCTCCTGGTCTTCTTTTATCAGCAGCAGAGAGTTCTGTTGTTCTGTTTTCAAATTCAACAATTGATTGTTTTCCAGAAACTCAAATTCTCCGAACACATCGCCGTCATGACTTCAGTTTATCTGGGCGACCACCCTGGATTTGCTGGGGAGTCGTTTGAGGATCGCGTTTTGTCATTCTGCCAGCAACTTTTAACTGCTCTTTTGGGCTGGTCACGGAGCAGAGAACGGATCACTGGGACAAAAAGCATGAATGGAGATCACGAGAAGAACGATCTCTAATGACGCTGATGTGGTGTTGTGACAGAGGACGGAAAGAATTTGCATTCCTGTAAATAATTGACAAAGACGGGACGATAGGGTGCAATTAAATACAGTTTTATGCCACTAATGACGACTGGATATGAACCTTTGAATGACATTTGCATGTGCATGAGACTGGAGTAGAAAAAAGCTGTTCAAAAATAACAACACGATGCGAAGTGTTCGACGTTCAAATGTTGCTCAGTTTATTGTTGTGGTAAAAACCCTGAATTAAAATTTAAAAATGACAATGTTGATAGTACTGAGCAGTGGATAGTAATGAAATGGTGACATCGTTGGTTCACTATTTTTCACTTTTCATTTTTTTTAGTTCTAGTCTCAGATGATACAAATCTCGTAATTTTCATCTCTGTCATCTTTAACCATCATTTTCACCAACGTTTTCTTTGTTCCTTCTAAGTCTATTCAGTTATGCACTCTGTCTTTGACTTACACATGTTTGCACATTCTTCTTCTACACTCAAATGGTAGTCACTGAGCAACGTCACCTTTACCACTTCTCCTTATCACCTTCCTAACTTCCATTCACACTGAATGGTCTTCAGTTGTCTGCTCTCCAAACTATGTTCTCTCAAAGCCTCAGAGCTGGACTGTCACTCCCCTGAACTGAACCCATCAGTCACATTGACTGCATCTCCATCAACAATGTCATACTACCTTCACATTTCACGTTTTGCACCACTCTTTTGTACTGCCAGGGGCAGTGGTGGCCTAGTGGTAAAGGAAGCGGACTTCGGTCCGGAAGGCCCAGGTTCGAATCCACCAACTGCCAGGTTGCCACTGAGATGCACTGACCATGGCTGCCCACTGTTCACTTGGTGATGGGTTAAATGCAGAGGTTTTCATTGTGCATGGTGTGCTGTGCTGTGCTGTGTCACGATGACAAATAAAGATAAGTTTAAGTTTTAAGTTACTTCTGCAACTCCTGACTTGTTGTTATGGATTTCTTCCAGTCCATAAGGACAGGATTTTTCAGCATTTCCTAAACTTGACCAACCAACCAAGTTTTTATTGAATTTGCGTTGAAGAAAAACAAAGTGACAAAGACATGATGTTTCGTCTTTTATGACAGAGAAAAAAGAAAAAAAGAAAAGAGAAAAAGACTCGTCTTTACCAGCTCGTTATTCCAGCTATTCACCCTTTCAAACCATTCACTCAGAGAATAATTTAGACAAAACAGCTGGTTGAACCTAATAGATATTTACACATAAAAATAAATACATCTTCAGCAATTGTATGCATATATATATTTTTATATGGTTGACTCACAACATACATGCATGGCTACAATTTAAAGTGAATACTCAGCACTGTCAAAGCCCTCATTGGTGTGTGGCACGTCAGGTGACGACAGCAGACTGGCTAATCCGTGTCTCAACAAACCTGCAACGATGCCTGAAAAAACAGGTTTTAATATGAATTTTAAAAGATCAGGACAAAACTGTTTGACTTGTTGTTCAACTTCCTGTTTCATTTGTCACAATGGACACAATAAGGACTTGTGGAATGCTGAATATCGAAATATATTTTTTTTCTTGGTTAATATTACATATATGCTTGCATTGTATATATGACTTAAAGCAACAAAAGATTAAATATAACCACCGTACGACTCTCACAGTAAACTAACTGAGTTTACTGAGACCTTCTCATCGCTGCAGCTACGCTATCACCTACATCTGTGACCAATCAGAAGGTTAGTTAAGTGAGTGTACGTGTTATAGTGGTATAATGAAGTGAACCATAGTAACTGTGGTGGTGAAGTGTTAATGAAATGTTACACATCAGTATATATCTTTTTTTGCACATGCTTTTTTTTGTAGTCTGCTTTTAAAATGTCGACAATTCTGTGATTTAGCTGTTTGGTGTGACATAAAAATACATGATGTGCTCTGGCTGTTACATAGACTGTAAATAAGAAATGGACATAGCAATGTTGACGCATAGTTAAAAAAAAGGAATTTGACAAGATTTAAAAAAAAATTAAAATTGAATAGAATGTTAATTTTTTATTACATTCTTATAATTCAAATGTATCATATATATATCATAAATTTAGCTAAGATTTTAACATCTTAATCTTAATCTACAGATTTTCTGGACCAGGATTTTGTCTTGTTTGTTGACTTGTTTTGTCGATTGTTTTTTAACTAAATAGGATCGTGAAATATATATTTATATAAAAAATGTGTTTAATTGACAAAAATTTCAGAGGAAGAGATTTAATCCATGAAGTTAGGAGTAGCCTTCATTTTTTATTCTATGTTCATTTCTTATTATCGGTCTATGGGCTTCAAACCAGTATTGTCAACGTAAAGTGTAGCAAAAGCAACCAACAATTCAGTTTTCCACGTTTTTCCTCCTCACAAACCATCAGGCAGTCCTCCTCAGTAAATAAAGACAAAGAGAACATGCTCTCGGTAAAACTGCTGCTCTGTTCGCCTCATTTGTTTGTTTTTGCTTAGATTCCATTCGACATGTTTTTCCAATCTTAGCCACTTACATTTGAGCTTCACCGAACTCTCACACTGTATCGTACTTAGGACCAAACCGAAAGTGAATAGACAAAAAGAGCGCTGTCGTGATCGCAGGTCATTCAGCATTAACACCACAGGTTATTTTATTAAAATAGACCAAATATTTGGTGTGTTTTTACAATAAAAAAAAAAATCTCCTTCAATTTTTGATGCAGGAAAAATAACAAACAATTTTTGTCTTCTTTATTCCCAATTTTTTTTTTTTTGGGGGGGGGGCTCCAAAACAAAACAGCTGATTCATTAGTAATAATTGAGTCATTGCTCATATTTAAGGTTTAACTACCTGTTTGCTCAACTTGGACTTTAAAATGACCCCTCAGTGGCACCAGATGGAGCTGTGATGAAGTGTTCTAAAATGCCCAGTTAGTGCAGCTGATTTATAGTGAAGCATGAAAGTGTTTGTGCCACATGAGAGGCTGCGTTAAAGAAGCTCCATCTGTAACTGGGCCTGAACAGATGCTACGTTTCAAAAAATGTAATTACAGTTCACGTGGGAACGCTTGAGGACGTGCAAACGCTACAAAATTGTCAACACTCCACTTGGACTGATTTGAACTTCCCAAATGCTAATGAACTCAAATGGAACACACACAAAAAAAAGAACAAAAATGAAAAAAAAAATATTAGCAGTGGAGGCAGAGTGAGTTAGTAATGTTTACTGTAATGTTTGATACGTGGAGGTTGGTACTCACGAGGTTGGAAAACATGGCAGCCATTTAAAATTTCCTTTTGTTTGTTGACAGTAACAGGAACACACTGAGCTAAAAGTCAGTGACGTATTCTTGGAAGTAAATCAATCGACGTCATGTCTAAAAAAATGTAATTTGGTGTAATGTGAGTATTATTTTGAGTTTATTTTGGGAAACTCGGTGGTGTTTGTGTGTAAATCTTTCTACAGCTGTAAGTGGTTTATGTCAAAACCATTGGTTTACAGCAGGGTTTGGATGATACGGACATGGTTACAGGGTCGAAGACAGGGTTACTGAATGTCCTCACAACTATAGAAAGATGTGTAATGAGGTGAGGTGGTGGTACAGTCCAGAAAGCAGCCTCTGTTTTTTTTTTACTCAAGGCTCCAATGTTAAACTCTCATTTACAATGAAGGAAAACTGAGAAATTTTCAAAAATCTTCAAATTTTAGGTTTTTTCTATTCTACTCGATGCTGCTCCTTGAAACCCCACCAGCCCTCCACCCCACCTTCTCAGGTTCCTGCTCGGTCTTAGTTGACCAGCAGTTCCTGGTACTGGTCGGACCGCAGGAACCGGGCGAAAGAGTCCTTCTCCATCAGGGCGTAGATCCTCTTCTGGGCCAGGTCAAAGGTGGAGGGAGAGAGATCCACCAGGTTCCTCAGAGTGACGTCCTTGGTGAAGTGGTCAATGTTGACCTGTGATTGGACAGAGACAGTGACGTGAGGCAATGGTTACATCACGGTAGACTCCTGTGATTTTTGTGGAACACAAAATAAAAACCTACTGGAGTAGACTATACAGGGTTTACACCAGGGGTGTCAAAGATACAGCCCACGGACCAAAACTGATCAATTTTGAAAAGAAACAAATACTCAAACACTTCATGTTCAGGACAGTTTTTGTAAAATTATTATTATTTCATTAAATAATAATAATAATAACAAACAAAGGGGGAAATATGGACTTTTATATATAATATGGAATTTATAATTTTTTAGGTTATGATTGTACTGGTCCGTGAACTAAAATGAGTTTGACACCCCTGGTTTAGACCGTTCTCTGCAGCTAGGACGTTAAAAGTGGTTGACAACAGGACACTGTGGCCCTGATGAAGTGTTTGTTCTCACGCCTCTTGCCATCAGCCTGACTTTCATCATCTGTGCACTGATGGCCAGTGGTGTTTAGTCTACATTCTTTGTAGTGGGTATGCAGGTAAGGCCGGTAAAACGGCTCTAATGAAGCTGCTTTTGAGGATGAATGGGTAGTTAAGGAAAATGTGCACGGATGACTCAACAAACCACTGGGGAAAGAAGGGGGAATGAAGAGTAGGATAAAAGTCCATCATCATCATCAAAGTGTCCTCTAATCTGTGTTTATTTTTGACACTGATGGTGTGGAAACTCAAACTACGTCTCATCCTCAATTCTAAAGGATCCATTCCGAGTAAAAGAAATGTTTACAATAACCTAAAAAACAGCCAGTCGGTGAATTCCAAACACTAATATATTTACTTCCTGTGACAGGAAACTCTCCTTTTGTTTACGTGACACTTTACTGAGGCGAAAGACAGCAAAGTTCAGTGAAGTTGTGTTCAGCCATTAACAGATCCCTGTACACCACAAAGTTACATGTACTGTCTCTACTATAGTGTGGTAAGAACCACATATCAACTCTGACCATATTTGTAGATCAGCTCTGTATCTGATTTTTCTAAAGTCTAAACTTTTTTTTGTTCTGCCACGGCTGATCTTGTCCAGATCTCTGGTAACTGATTGCAGGTGTATCTTAGCATGTACAGTACGGACAGGAGCATGGCTTAAATCTTCTCATCCAACACTTTTTAGAAAAAAAGTGAATTACTTCATTCCCTGGAAATGTCTCTGCGTCAGTTTTTTAATGCCATGTATCATGTTCTTAAGACAGACATTGGTTGTTCCTCAAAAGTCACGTTCTGGGACGGAGAATTGCGTTACCTAAGCGAATGTGCTTTGTGTGTGTATGACTTGTTCCTGTGTGCGTGATTACACCGTTCACAGGCATGTTGAGTCTCAGAACATTCTCTGTCAGTAACCTCATCTGTTTACACTGCTGTACGCCCGTCCTCCCTCACTCCACTCCGTCTCTGTGTGATTGGCCAGGAAACTCTTACACCCAGATCTGAGGTAGGTGATAATAACAGCAATAATAGTTTTATAATCTTTATTTAAGTTCTTAAGAATTGTAATAAAAAAACAAATCCGTTTTGAATTTTGGACTATGATTAACCTTGAACACATGTCTGCAGCGGCGTGGTGTAGGGAGAATGCCACAAGGCACTGATGCGCCTTGTCTTGTTGCCCCTACCCTAGTTTTGGTCTTACTTTAAAATTCAGCTTCAACTCACTTGGAGCGAGTTGCAAGCATCAATCGTCAGAATTAGTTCATGTTTAACCAGCAGAATTAAATTTGCTGGTAAAAACACTACGAAGGACCAAAACTTTAATTGAGTTAAAAATTTAATTTAAATACTTGTGCTCACTTATTTTGACAAATCTTGTTTCCAGTTTTCATTTCATTTTATGATGAAGGATATTAATGTCACAAAACGACCCAAAAGATTGAGACGGCCACTGCCTGATAGATGACCCAGTGTCTCCGACTTTGACTTCATATTGAAACGGTTACTCTAATAGAAAGATAGATAGGCCGTGTGAAGCATGCTAACCCCGTGATTAGCTTGATGAGCTATTTTTACTGGTCTAATCAAATTCTGCAGGAACCTCTGACCTCTCTGGGCCCCTCGGATTGGATGTAATCTTCATAGATTTTCTTGGCCTTGGTCGACATCTTCACGGGGTCCTTGGTCTTTTTAAAGTCCTCGCAGGCCGTCCAGAACTCAATGTTCTCATCACTGAACTCAGACTGCAGGAAGCTGCGGAAGGCAGCCACGCCGTCTGCACAGAGGAAAAGGCACATGGAATTACAGGAGATAAAAATGGGAATTTTTCACAGACACGACACTTTCGGCTATGGTTAAAATATGGCAGCGTGGATCGATGAGGCCATATTTACCATCTGTCTCATCCGTTCTTAATCATCTTCATTTCACCAACTGCTACATTTATTTGTCAATGGGAATTCAGACAGATGATGCAGGATTTATGGGAATGATGCTAACTGACAACTGGTGTTTGCAATAAAACGTCAAACATCTCACAGGCTTTGAAAAGTTTTGTTTAACGAAAAAATTTGAAGCCTAAATTACAGCACATGTGATTTTCAGAAGTGACAGGTTTGGACGTGTTCAGGACATTGGAGGGGAAGGGGGTGCCAGTTTATTTAACAAAAAGCAAAATAACAGGACTCATGTGAACGGACAGTGGTCGCAGAGAGTATAAAACTGAATGTTAGCCTTGGTTTTAAGTGAGCACTCATTTCTGTATCGAAAACATAATTGTTTCTCACAATGTCAGTGAAAGGTCTCATTGTCTGGATGAACATGTGGTGTGGATGATAAGCGTCGGGGCTGCAGCCCCAGGCTTTTATCTGCCATCTAAATGGCTGGTGTGGTTCAAAATAGCACCGAGCCGCAATCAAGATGCAGGTTTTTTTGTTCTTTTACTTTTACCCTCACGAACCCTCGGCCCAGGGGGAGGACGGGCACAGGCGCTGATGACAATCTGATTGTGTTGTGCAGAAAGTATGTTCTGAGTTTTTGTGACTGGCTTTGTTGTGTCGTTCAGCATCATTTAGTTGGAATTTTGGATTTTGTTCTTTTGTGTTGTGGAAACTCAGATTTGTTTTTGTTTGTTTACAGATTACAACAGATACAAAAGAAGGAGAGCGAAGGGAGATCTATGTGGACTGTAGGACCATTAGATGTTTCTGTAAATCACTGAAGTTTTACCTTCTGAAAACTGTAATGGCTGATACTGTAAATAAATGTTTGATGAAGTGATCTAGAAAGTGTACTTTTTTTTTGGATTTATTTGTACAAATGAACACCAAACCCTTTTAGATGTTTCGTAGTGAATGTTTGCCCCTAAAGGGTGAAACTGAAAATAACAGTTGCCTTAATTTTTTTTTTTTGGAGTTGATAAATTACTGGGATTCTCAAAGAAAAAAAAAGCATTTTAGATGAATGTGACATTAAAATCTCATGTAGATGCTGTAAATAATCCTATATGGTGGGACTTCACTTCACCCCCCTCCATTATACAGTAAATTTAGATGTTACCATAACAGACTAGAAAGGTCCTGCTGCCACCCACAGAGCCCCCTCCCCCAAGACCACAGCTGCCTCCGCCGCTAACATCTGTACTCAACTTATTGTTCACTTATTAGCAGCTGAGTTTACATGCAGCGCTACATACCGTCGGCCATTAGGGTTAATCATCAGCTCTGTTGGCTGTGAGGTAAACACAGGAACCACTGCAGGTTCTCAGTGTGTGTGTGTGTGTGGGTGTGTGTGTGCTGCATGTTTGACCACCTGAGAAAAGTTCATATATCACGTCAGAGTGAACATTAAATCAAAGGAGCCTCTAAAGTTTCCCGTGGACTCTGTCCAAAGATTCAAAGATGAAAGCACTTTGACTTATCAGAGGGACAATAAAAATAATTCTGAGGTAAACAAAGGGCTTTGCTGTTATGGAAACCAAACTCTGCTGGGTTATTGAGACTAAGTAAATAGTCTTTTTGACGGACACCAGATCTCAGAAGAGACACGTTACATAACAGCAAGCATAGCGTTGGACGGCGCTAAATAATGAACCTGTGATGGCCGTCTAATTCAACGGGTGACTTGATTTCAACGTGAACATCAAATAATAATGTTAGATAAAAACAATTAACCTTAATAAACACTCCTAGGGAACTGCTAGTCAATGCATTTATGAATCAGTTTCATTTCCCTACTGTGGCACAAAAGAAAAAATATTGAAAATGAAAATCATGTTCTCTGATGTACCCTAATGGGGGTGCAGCCCCCATAGTGGAAACAACTGCCGTCGGTGATGAATACAGTACAGAAAAAACTACTTTTTCTACATGGTTTTGCTGCAGCCAGTGAAACCAAAGTAAAAGCAGGAAAAATCTTAAAACACAACTGTGAACACTGTGATCAAACCAGCAACCTCATATCTCAGCACTGTTCCATTGTGTGTCAAGGAATTCTAAAAATAAATAGGCATGACATCAACCTTATTTTCAGTTAACATAATAAGTGTGGGCAGCCGCAGCCCTTCCTGTGTTTACTAAATATGTTGCCACTTTAAACAGTGTTAAACTGAAAAATTGTTTTTTTTTAGAGTCACAATAGACAGTGTTGTGTTTCTCTGCACGGCCCAGACTCTGGACACGTACACAGCCCGCTCTCATGCTCACGCTCTGAATGACACAGACAGGATGTTTAACTGCCCCTGTAGGATTAGACCGAGGAAGGAGAACTTAAAGATCTGCGACACTAAAAACCAATGTCCCCTTTCACACACTGACATCAAGGTCATTTACTGTTAATCCACTGCAAAATGTTGGTATTCCCAAAGTCCAAAGTTGTTTTTTTTGCCTCTGATTTATACATATTACCAATCAATGCAGCTGTTTATCAGTGATCAGGGGAATATTTGGTATTTGCGTCATTTTTGTAGACCTGAAAGGCACGTACAAATACTTAAAACGTGTGTTTTTTAACATTAAAGCCGGTGTACACAACAAGAATACATGACCTTTTCAAAACAAAAGGTTTTTTTTTACTAACATTCTGAGGTTCCTGCTGGGTAAATCACAGAGGAAAACAAAGAATAATGTTGATGAAAGTTGATAATGTTGATGAATCATGTTGATAAAAAGCTGCCCTTTTCTCCCTTCCTCCTTTTATTTCAGGTAATTCCCGAAAGTGTTTACCAACAGGTACTAGATGAAGTTGGAAAGGGATCTGGAGGACGGTTGTGAGTAGAGGGAGGGGGGGGGGGGGGGGGGGGGGGGGGGGGGGGGGGGGTAGGACCAGTTCATAAGCTGAGATCAACTACTGGATTTACAGAAGTATATATTTGTTATTCAAAGATTAATTAAGGTCAGATTGAAGTTTTCATTTTGTGGTTTGAATAAAAAATAATCGACTAAGAGGTTGTCAAGATAATTCACACCGTTAATTTGGAGATCAGCTAGTTAGCTCGTCAAAATCTATGCTACACTCTGCATAATCTACAGTTAGGCGGGGGAGTTATCAAAGGTTATAGCTAAAAGGAAGGTCGCTAAAAGTTAGCTAAAACTGTATCAACCACAGATACAGTTGAATTAATCTGGTCTGAATCTGTAAGAAAGTAAATAAATGTAATGGCCTAAAAACAGTATTATTATTATTGGTTATTATTGGTCCCCGGCCCAACTGAGTGACAGAAAGACAAAGAGAAGTTGACCTACAGCTGTTGTTCAGGACCCGATCCAGACCATCGCGCCACTGAGCAGCCTCGTCAGGAGAAGGCCTGTGCAATAATAAAAAAAACAAGTTTAAAAACAATGCACATCATTAATACCAGTAGTAGTACTGTAGTAGTGGTAGTACTGAGGGCTTTGGGGTCAACGGAAAGTTTGCGAGGCATGCACGATCCATCCATCATTGAAACATTTCTGAGCGGAGGCATAAATTATTATTACATAAACCTTCAACCTTTATTAGAGCAGCATTTAGCCGATCCCTTGCAGTCGGTGAAGACTTTGAGTCCACGGCTGCGTCTGAACCACCGGCTGTAAATACTGCAAATATTTCACGTCAGACTTAAGTCCTTTATAATCAGATATGGACTTTTCATCTGGAGGTTTCACTGATTCGCACCTGGAAAACATCCAGGGAGAAATGTTTGCTCCTGGTGCAGTGTTTCCCCCCCGGGAGATTCACTGGCAGGGCTGAATCTAAGAACAATTTATGAAGTTAAAGCTACGACAAAAGGTTTTCAAGAGTTTGTGGGACTTGAAGGGCCCCTGACTGATACGGGCCAGAAAACAATATTAAAATATTGTTGCATATTTACATATACATATATGTAAATACATTTTCTAGCATTTTATATTGTACTGTAGGGTAGAGAAGTGACCAGCCAGTTAATGGGATTTTTTTTTTTATATATTTGATTAAATAAAATATACAGAGCGATACACGCTCTTCAGCATTAGTCAAAAGGTTCTAAGACAATTTGACAAAAATACATTTATTAATTAAATGAACTGAGCTATTCATCTATTTGTGTTCTATTTATTTCTAAACACTTCTATGTGCAGTGTTTTGATGCGATTTCTTCTTCTGGGATTTGTCTTCTTTATGAGGTCACAATCCACTTTTTGATTTTTTTTTGCCTCCCCAAGAAACAGGTTCCTTTAAAATGCTCTTTCAATTTTTAACCTATAGAGTATATAGATTTGTCGTTGTACAACACAGAACCAACTTTACAAACAGTGTGAGGATTGCCGTCGACCGCTGAAGGTTGTGCGTTGGTTACAAAGAGTCGAAAGGTAATTTAACTTTTACGAAGGTTTCAGTTTTGTTGAACTGCATTTTGAATTGATCGATGTCGAGCCATTTCCAAACATAATGCAGACAAAACAAGAAAGTCCTTAAAGGGATTCAGGACTGAAACCATCCTTGACCTCTGACTCCATTAACCGGTGCTAATGTCCACACAGAAGACCCGTCTCGTGGTCTGACCAGAGCCCTGGACGTCATCTGGAGAGGTCTAATGTCTTCTGATCCCACACATGTTGCGCCTGCTCAGGGATCTGCTCGGCCAATTTACCATCAATTATCTCGTTAACGCTCAGGCAAACACAACACCGATGCCTTTCTAACAGGCACCACGTCTCTGGGGGGCACAAGAAGGGAGCGAAGATTAGCACTCACTTCTGCAGCTTCTCCGGCTTCTTCTCAGTCTTTTCCTGGTATGGGATGATGAGGTCAATGGCATTTTCTGGCTTTTGCAGCAAAACTCCCAATTTTGACTTGATCTCCTTTGCCCTGGATGACGGTAAGGAGAGAAGAGGAGAGGAAAGGAGAGGAAGAGGTGAATAGAAGATAAAGACACAGAAAAGACAGTGGCTATGATTTAATCCTAGATGTGACAGATTATCACGGCTGATCGGTCCATCCTGACGTGACTGAGCTACATTTCATTTATAACTTATGACTTTGTAATTCAGAGCAGATGAATTTAAAATTCTACTTTTTCCTTTCACATAAGGATGATTCTGCACAAAGTAAAATTAACACACTTTAAACACAATACGTTTTTCTATCTAAAATATATTTGTCATCAAAATTATTAGGAAATTATTATTTTTATGAATGAGGTGATACATCAGCTGTTTTAACATCTTCTGCTGTAAACATATTTCAAAAATTGTGTTTTAAAGAAAATGTATTTTTCTGAAAAGTTTTTTTATTTTTTAAAATGAGTTTACTTTTTTGTTTACATCTAACACCAGAGATTATCATTCAACACAAAGGTTATATATATTTTAAAAAAGAAGTAACACATTTTTGTCCTAGGCACCTGGGAAAGTGTTAAAATGGAAAAAACATGTATTTTTATTTTGAGCAGATCATTTCAAAAGTTTATCTCTAAATGACTACCTACTAATACAATTAGACAAAAAGTTAAAAAGAAGAAGAAAAGTGGTTAAAGCCACCGTGATGTTGCATGTCTCACCTCTCCAGGCAGGTCTGGGGCAAAGCAGCTAATCCTTTACACATTTTCCGGAGGTTTCAGTCGCAGCAGTTCTGTTTGACTCAGTCTTCCTGTCAGCACGTGGGGAGTCTCAGAGACCTTTTTGGCTTCGTGACTCTGGCTTTCAGCACATAAAGAGTTTCATAGAGACGCCCTATGGGCTCTGGGCCAGTGGCTAAGCCAATCAGACTGGAATGTGGAGTCTGACTGGAGAGGAGCTGGAGATGATGAGGATGTGCACGGCTGTTCCAGGATCAGTCAGTCTGGAGGATGAAGGGCCACCAGAAAACATTAGGGACGCAACACAGATTGACATTTTAGTCTGAGTTCTTCTCCACTGGAGTCTCTGCATTTTTTAATTTTTTTTTTTTTTAAATCACCTACATTTATTTATCATGTACAGACACAAAGAGATCTTTTATATTTTTTACTAACAAGATCAATTCTAAGTTTTGAGATTTTAAACTAGTAAACAATTGTTTCATTGTACATTAAAAATAAGATTTGTCTTCATGCCTATGATATACACAATAAACTGGGCTGGGTTTCGAACTGGCAAACTTCTGATCACATAATAATTCAAAAGGTTGTACTACCCTGAGCTCAACAGTCTGTGGTTCAATTCCCTTCTCCATGACACTGCTTGATTTTCTTTAGGTGACAGATCCGGACTGCATAATTCATAATACAGCCGTGCTGATGACAGAGATCGATGTCGGCTGTGCCAATTTTCTCCCTGTTTCCATGGTGATCAGATAGTAATACGTGACACAGGCTACACCGGAGCAACATTGATGTCACCTGTATAATTTTGAACTCTGACGGAGCAATTAAAATAATTATAACTCAAATTAACTCAGACGTTGTCTTCATGGACCACCAAGGGATTTCAAATGAGAATAGAACTTTGTAACGTTTACAAACCATTTTGGCCATTGTTGCAATGAGAATTGTGATTATTTGATTTAAAATCACGTCACCTGGAGATTTTAAACAATACAGTGTTTTGTTGTTTTTTTTTGTATTATTATTTTCTTTTTCTTTTCACAAGGATAACAAACAGCTCCGGAGAAGTTTTTGCCTTCATCGTAGGATATCCTGGAAGGCGAAGTTCAGGAAGGGTTAGTCCTTTGAGTGGATGTGTACACAGGCTGGAGGCAGTGACTGCACCACTGTTCAAACAAACTGGCACCAGTGGGCATCCAGTGCTTTGTCTGCAGCACTGACAGAAGCCCAACACTGTGTTTACAGCTGTAATGATCCTCTGAGAGCTGAGGGAGCTGTGCATAAAACTCAGCTTTTCACACATAATGACACAATAAAGGTAAATGCAGTATGAACGAGTCGTCGTCCTGACAAATAAGCCATATACTGTATATAAAATATACATATATACATATATATAATATACTCTGAGTATATGCCACCCACTGATCACACCCCTCTCATGATGAGGTCATTTCTGATTTTACTTTCTTCTTCGTCGCCATCTCAGATTATTCACGTGAAAATGTTAATACTTTCACACAGATTTTACCATTACATTCATCAGCACATGCTTGGAATCAAACCCACAACCTTCTGGTTGTAGGATGATTTACTTGATGACTCCCACTAAGTAGATATTTGGTTTTAAACATTTAGTTCACAGTGTTCTAATATTATATTTTTTTTATTTCAAATGTTATAATAAACCATCCTTTTAATAGAAAAAAACATTAAAATGTCAGACTGATGAACACAGACATTTGGGAAGCACTTGGTGCATTTATTGCAGTTAATTGTGGTTAATTAATCGCAACTACAGGAAAGATTTGGTTGAATTTATTGCTGCTAAAAGAGGATCGATCAGTTAAACTTTGGATTTCGCCATTTTCACATAATTCTCAAATGGAAAACGTAGCATTAAAAACCATGAACAAAGGTTAAAAGAGTTCGATACTGTTAAACAAATACTTATTTCATTGATTTCTGTTTTTTTTTTTGTCATTCTACAAAGCTGTGGGTTGAAACACTGAATTACTGAGAAACAACAAACAACCCACAAAAAACAAACAAACAAAAAAAACCTAAAATGAACAAGCCCACATCACGATCTTGTCCTGGAGCAGATTAAAACAAGTGTGCATTCAGAGTCGTTTGTAAATGTCAAATAAAAACAGTTAAATAATCACAACATGTTAATAAACACTTTTCAACGGTCACTTATCTGATGGATATTATTACATCTAAGGAGAATGAATGCAGCCAAACAGGAAAAGAACTGTATCTTTGTCTTTACACTTTTTTTTTAAAGAAAAAACAAAGTGTGTGGTTCATGGGATGGACTGAGGCTTTAGTTATATCAACCAGCAGCTCTGATTAAAGAGCAGGCAGCTGATCACTTCCTCACTTCCCGACAGTAACAAGTTCAACAACTGAGATAAACTGTGAGTGTGTGTGTGTGTGTTCAACTATGATGTAAGCAGCTCAGCAGCACAGCAGAAATGTGTTCTTGTGAATTGTGAATCAGGTTCATGATTGTTGCCTTCCTCACAGCCATTCTAAGAAACATAAATCCAGAGAGTGGCTGACGTCTGACCTCTGGTCCTTCAGAAACGAAGAAAATACCACAAACTTCCATCAAACCACCCGGGGCTGTTGTGTACCATAAGCTATAGCGGGTTCATTCATTTTTCTGGTGGTTTGTTGTCGGTGGCCCCGGCCCTTCCTTTTATACAGCCATGAATGAAAAGAAAAATGAGATTTGTAAAACTGCTTGATAGTTCAATAAAATTTGAATTGCCTCCTTGATGAAGGAGAGAGAATTCATCGAGGACATTGAACTGAAGAAACAGAAACTCCGTGTTTGGTTTGAGTGTCGTGAGAAGCAAAGAATTCAAAGTCAAAAGTTCGGAGGTTGCTCCACAGATCCTCCAGGTTCTGAGGTGAACTTTGTTGTTGTAGGTTCATATGTCAAGGCACGGTGGAACAACAGGATCAAAGAAATGGTTTTCAACTGGGCTGAGAGTAAAGCTGCACACACCAGGAAACAGAACAGAGACTTTCAACGATTTACTCTTTAAAAATATATCTCCCAAAACATCAAGACTTCAGAGTTAGTTTTAAAGACAAAAGTTTTTTTTTTGTTTGTTTGTTTTTTTTGTTTTGGCAGTGAGGGTAGGGAATCCTGCAGACATCTTCCAATCAGAGCTGGTGTGTGAATCCAGCCTCTTATACCTGAGAAGCAATTAGCTCACAGGCTCCACCTGTTGGGTCACATGCCTCAGTGATCAGATGTTCACACCTGCAGCAAGTCAAACACTTACACAGAATCAGAAGGAAAGAGGAAACTAGTAAAGAATGAGGTTGTAATGTTTGTCCAAAATTCAGATTTCTATTCTGATTAATTGCATGGTAGTTATAGATTAATCAATTAATTATTCAAGAGTGATTGTGAGTTTATTTGTCATGATTAATTAGTTGTGTTTAATCAGTGCCTCTGACTACGACAGTTGGGAACCACTGGCTCAGTGTGACGTAGTAAAGTAGGCTGTCAGAAATTCTGACTTTTAATCAAATTCATCGTAGGGTGGCTATAGATTAATCGTGATTGTTTGAGATTGAATGTGAATATATTTATTGCGATTAATCACAATGAATTTGTCGTGATTCACCAGTGTTTCTAGTGGACCGAAGAGTAGAAGGTCACGGCTGCCCGTATCAAATGTTCATGACCCACACATACGTTTATTTTTAAAACCACAATCAGCCGCAGACTTTTCACTTCATTGGCATCAAATTGAGCCTGAAATGGAGAGTAATTTTCAGTTTGGCTACCAACGAGCCATCAGTCTTGACTACCTCTGCTGGAGCTCAGCAGAGGTTGTTGAAGGTGTGGAGTTTCTCAGCAGCCAGTTGTCAGGCCTCGGAGAGGAAATTAAATTGCTTTTCCCACAGCTGCTTAGATTGTTGTTGTAGCTTCGCTTATTTGTAAATGCCTTGAGCTTTGGTGCTTGTAGGAGCCAGTGAACATCCACAAAGACAGAAATCTGATCTGAACATCTGAGGAGGAGCGATGGTCCAGGGTTCAACAACCTAGGATCATTCCTGCGTTGGGCAAATAAATCATCAACATAAATTGATTTTCCATTCTAAGAGACAGGGCTGAATGTTTGAGTTGAATCTATGGCGCTGCTGCTGTTATGTAACCGCAATCCAAAATGTCATTTACAGCATCAGTGTAAACTGAGTGCACTTTAGATACACAATCACGGAGGAGCGAGGCATGAGAACTGTGTGGATCTATATAAGATCAGATAAAAATCCAGTTTGGAATGACTGTGATTATTATAAGCCCACTTAAGGTTCCTGCAGTTTAAATGTGTTTGGATTTGTGTGATGGGGACAGGGATCACATTAAAAATCCTGAAAAGTGGTGATAAAAAAACATGCCAGAGCAAATATGATGGTGAAAAAAGTCAGGATGCAGAAAAAACAGTGGTTAGCAGCAGTGACGTGTCGGCTGCTGTTGGTTTAAGATCACTGAGCAGTTTGACAAGGGTTTCATCAGAGACGGTTGCCCGTGGAGCTCACGTACAGTGTGTTTGTCATGTTCACAACCACTGGAGGTTAATGCATCGAGGTCTCACAGTTTTCTGAGATACAGAGTGCACCACTGTTTGAGCGGCTAATGGACCTGAAGATGGGAAATTAAACAACGATGTCGATGTTAATTAGTTAACATATTTTATATTTTATTTTCAAGGTCTATCACAAAACATATTTTTACACATTTAACATATTAACTTTTCGCTGATATCCAAAATGCCGATATTGTCCAAACACTTAATTTCTGATTTCTATATCAACCAATACCAAAATAGTAGGGCCTAGTGGTGCCAACTGCTTAAAAACGGCCGTCGTTTAAAGCAGTATTTCTCAATTATTTTCTGCCCCCTAGGGGACAGAAGTTTTTCACCCCGCCCCATCCCCTTATTGCGGGCCTCGTAATATTTATTTATTTATTTAATTGAACCACTGTATGAGTTGCTGGCACCAGCATTCTGCATACAATTCCCTGATTATCAAAATAGATTAATAAACTGAGCTGCAATGCTGCCATCTAGTGGCTTTCACATATAGCCATT